TGTTAAGCGCCACCGCTGAGAAAGTTACGTCGCTTTTCAGCTTGGACCTTTTATATTCGTGATAATGAATACACAGCTTAGACTTATCATAGTCATCATTATGAATAAACAGGCCGAAAGAGGTTTTTCCTTTCGAAGCAGTTACATTTTACGAATCGGCTCTCATGAAATGGCAGTGAAATTTTTGTTGTTGTTAATGTTGTTGTTGTTTTTCTGTTTTGGTTTGATATTTCCTTGACTTGTTCTGACACCTAATTAAGTATTTGTTTGTTTGTTTGTTTTTTTTTTTTATTTTTGACCAGCATGCTGGGTGGCATACTTGTGAGGAAGAGTACAAGTTTGGGGTCTTCGCCACTCAGAAAATCGCTGTTGCAATAAGCAACATCAGGAGTCATGTAGACCAATTTCAAATACTATTTAATAATTCGATTATAGGCCGATCCCTACTTGTAGACAGCACTTCGGTTGGTGTTGATTAGTAATTCATTTCCCGCGCATTAGGCAGGCACGGAAGAAGTATGATATTAAAAAGACTTAAAATGCAAAACAACAAGTCGGCACTAGGTTATCTCCAAATACCGCGTGCGAGGTTCATTCAGTGCTTTTTGAGAATTGAATCTTTGGTTCTGGGATAACGTGTGACGGGTTTAGTAAAGTAGCATCCAAATTTCACTATCTCAACAATTTTTTTACAGGCAAATGGGAAGTTTCTGACGCACTTAACATAATTTCTTTCTCAGACACTCGTGTAGATGCCTTTTTAAATAATGATACAATTAAATGCAATGAAATAAGAAAGCAAGACAATGTTAATGCAACTATAGTTGAAACTTGAAGACACAGAGTACAATAAACTAGACTCAGATATACAAAAGCTGACTAAGTCAACCTCGTTCCTATTATTCCCAACCGGGAACGAGGTTGACAGATAGGTAACAAGCGTAGTTAAATTAGAGTCTTGTTTTCAACTGCAATTATTCAGTGAAGAGCAAGATGAAGTTGAGATGGGTCAGCTGAACGCAAATACAGATGGATGGGAGATTGCAGTTGACCGCCTAAACTTTCGCGAGCCTATTGGCAGAGGGGCATTTGGCTCAGTATGGCGAGCGCTACTGGGCCGGTCCCGTGGCAGACCTGGAAATCGTACAGTTGCCGCCAAGTGCTACCTACGTAAGAGCATTTTAAGATCTTTCGTTAATTGAAAGTTTGATTGAACTATCCTCAACAATCAGAGCGCGCGTTGT